ATCCACAAACAGGAAGCAGAGAGAGAGAGAGCACATTGGGAACGGAAGCTCAAAAGACCCCCACCCCTCAGTAACACACCTCCTTCAGCAAGGTCCACCACGCCTTCTAATCTTTCCCAAACAATTCCAACTGGGGACCAAGTATTAAGACATATGAACCTATTCGCATCAGCTCACCGCATCAGGGTTAGTAGGTACTTGAGCCAGAGTCTACCAATTCAGTCAACCTAGCCTTCACATCTCTTACTCTACAGTTTCAAGAAACAAGCTTACAAAGCCTCTGGGGCCATCTGTGCTCAGCTCTCATGCTCACACTCCCTGACCTCATCCCCCTCACTTCCCTCTGTGGTATACACCAGGTACCTTCCATTATACACCCTGACCAACCCTCACCTCCTGATGACTTCTGGCTTCAAACTCCAATTACATTCATTTTCAGTTTCATTTATTTGGCACGTAATGCATTGTTATCTGTCCCTGTTATAAATATGCCCTATCTTCCAGAGAGATGTGAAGCCCCCAGCACTACATTTTCTGCCTACAGTCAGTGCCCTGTAAGTGCTTGCTGATGGTAGTGGTGATGTTCGGGAGATAGTAAATCTGTTAAGCATGTGATTTGCTACAGCCAATAAAAGAGCAATTCCTTATAATGGCTTTAATTCACTTGTAAGATGAGCATGAGAAAAAAGAAGGGAACTGTCTCCCTATTTGAATAATATTTTACTTTAATGGGTAAATATTAACATTCTCCCTACCATCACTTAGTGGTCCTCTTCTGCTGTTACTCGAAAGGAATAAATGAATCATTTAAATGTTATTTTAATGTTATTACTCAAATGTTGCTGTGATTGTTTATAGATAGTCACAACCTATACATTTAGAGTTTTAGCTCATCCCTTTTTCTCAGAGCAAATAATTTCTGTTAATATTATGTGAAACACTTACAATAATTTTAAATCATATTTACAAAGCCCAAAGAATTCATAAAAAGGAACAAGGATGAAAATAACTTAATCTAGGTGGCAAATATAAAGGAGCCATTGATGAACAGTAGGAGAGACACTTTGGGATTTTGCATATTACCAGCTCCTCTGACCTCCAACCCACAGAGGAAGCTGCTTTTCTTTCACTTGTCCCTGTGTCCCTAGATCCACACAAAGCACTTAACCCATGCTGGGGATTTGGGACAGTTGTCAGTTTGGGATTCAACTCTGCACCTGGAGTCCGACAGACAGCTCACACGGGGGCTTGAAGGAAGGTGTGCTTTGCATAGGCACTGAATAGATTTGCTCCCAGGAAATGAATAAATGAATGGTCAATCTATACCAATGCATATCTAAGATATCTAATGTCTAAACTGGATGCCATATCACCCGCAGTGCATGCTGGGTATGGCAGCATGTATTTCTACTCTCAGTACCAGGTAGGCAGAGGTGAGAGGATCCTGGTGCTCGCTAGCCAACCAGTCAGGCCAAGTAAGTGAGCTTCAAATTCAGTGAGAGAATCTGCCTTAAAAATTAAGATGGAAAGCAACTGAAGAAGACATTCAATGTCATCCTCTGTCCTTCACGTGCTAGAACACACATGTGAAAATGCACAGAAATACACACACCACCAAAGACAACTTGATTTTTCTGCATGTTACCAAGCTCCTGATTGATTACATCCTTAAATACAAACAATAATTATTTCTTACACTAGTAGGATGAAGGGGAAGCCAGGGAAACACTGAGGGGAGGAGAGCGAACAGCTTGGAAAAGAGCAGCTTTCTCCACGGCACTGAAGTAGGAAGGGAATGGGATTTTCTAGAGAATAGGAGGGTTCCAAGGTAGTTTGGATGAAAGAGAGAAAGTGTCATGATGTGCAAATACAGCATCAAGCACAGCTCACAGAGGACAGGACTCCACAGCAACTTTAGGAACATAAACTTTCACCCTGTGAGCGACTGCGAGGCACTGAAGGGTTTTAAGTGAAGCAGCGAAAGAATCAGTTATCTGTTTTGAAAGATCTCTCGGTTTGCAAAGAAAATATTGGTAAGAAAGCACAAAAGCAAGACCCATAAACATTCAAGAAGTACCCACTAGCCAGGCAGTGATCTAAACAGTGGTTATAAAGTCCCAAGAAGCAGAAAAGAAAATTCTTGCTCTCATGGAGCTCTCGCTAAAACAAGAAAAGACAGACAAATGAATGAAATGGAATCTAGAATGTGCTGCATGGTGAGAACTGCCACGGGGGTGGAGCATAAGGCAAAAAAAAAAAAAAAAAAAAAGAAGAGCTGGCCAGGAAAAGGAGCGAGCAATTCCCCCTTTTCTAGAGAAGTCACGGGAACCATCACTAGGCATATGACCTAAGAGCAAATAGTTGAATGAGAGAGTAGACAGAGGAGCCCTGAGTGTTAAAGTCCTGGGACAAGAACTCTCTGGGCTTCTGGGGAAGCAGCTAGAAGGCTGATGTGTCGAGGCGAGGGATGAGTAGGGACAGAAGTGGGAAAGTAGTCTAAAGGTGACAGAGGAAGTTCATGGAAGGCATAGGGGGTCACGAATTCGCATAGGACGCGAATTTCACTTTGAGAGTGATAGGAAGTCCCTGCTACATTATGAACCGAGATTCACTCTGACCACTGTGTGGAACTGATGGGGGCAAAGGATAGGCTGGCATAGGAGAATGCTGGGGTGAGAACTGAAAGAGATGGTAGTGTGGAGGCTGCTACAAGCATCCAGATAAAGGAGGCTCTGCAGGTAGAAATGGAATAAACAAAACGTGGTAAGAGTCAGGGGCTGACTTCAAAATGAAGCCAAAAATTTCTTACAGTGCATGAAATACTGGAAAGGAAATTGCTAGGGTTACGGCAAGAATAGCTGGAAGCCTGAAATGCCCATTCACCAATGGGCATAAAACAATCATGAGACTGAGTCAGTGCCATGTATAAGGTGCCAAAGAGACATCCAAGCAGAAATATTGAGTTGCATGTTGGAAAGACTCAGATCAGGACAGAAGTTTGGTTGGATTACAGATTTGGGGTCTGATGTGCCTGCACCTTAAACAAAGCCTATTACTGAATACAATGACCATGGGGATGGATGTGGTGAAGGACTGTGCCAGTGGAGAAGCCAGAAATGAGTGAAGAAGTCCAAGTAGTAGATGCTGGACATCTGGTGCAGATCTCAGGTTCAGGAGAAAGGCACACATCTGTGTTAAGTGCTCTTGCAGAGGTCTTCAGGCCCCAGAGAGGGCAGCTTCAGGGCAGTCTGCAGATGGAAAATGCACGGCTATGGTGATGGGAAAGGCACAGGACCACAGAGAGAGGACCATCTCCTCTAATGCCATCTGTGTGGCTCCTGAGATGGAAAAGAAATAAATAGGTAATGTAGGCACATTTAGAAGACAAACATTGTAAGTTCTTTGTAGAAATAGCATAGCAAAGAAATTTTGATAAAATGTGAGGATAAAAATTTAAAAACAGGCACACCTTTAATGCCAGCACTTGGGAGGTAGACACAGGCAGATCTCTGAGTTCTAGGCCAGCCTGGTCTACAGGGCAAGTTCCAGGACAGCCAGGGATACAAAGAGAAAAAAAAAACAAAAAACAAAAAAAAAACAAAAAAAAAAACCTCAACAAAAGTAGTTTATTGAATTTTATTCAGGAAACAAAAATAAGATGTAATTATTTCTTAATTATACTAACTTTGAGCTCCAGGGAAACCGTTTACATTTTAAATGGCATGTGCTAGAATGCCTAAATATGGAAGGGGCACTTTAAATCACCATGCTCATTTATGTGCCTGTGTTAAATGTGTGCATGAGGAATGGCTGTATCAGAGACTGCCAAGACGGTTAGAATGGTTAGCGCTCTCTAGACAATGACGTTTCATGTAAGGTTTTACGGTGTATTTTTAGTTATGTGTATATGTAGTAATAAGTATGGGCATGTGTGAGTGCAGTTCCTGCCAAGTGCAGAAGAGGGCGTCAGATTCCCTGGGGTTGGAGGCACAGGTGATTATAAGCCACCCAGTTTGGGTGCTGGGAACCAAACTCGGGACCTCTCCAAGAACAGCATATATTCTTATCAACCAAACCACCTTCCTAGCCCCTTATTCCTTTCTTTTGCCTGTTTACAGTTTTGATTACTATCATTTTTATCTTATAATTTAAACTAGAACATCAGTTCTTTGAAAGAAAAATGAGAGACAACAAAGAATCCACTGGTGACGTGTTCATCAAACTCTTGCTAGAGACTGCTGGAGCCATTCTAAACCTTTGAGATGTCAAGTATTATTAAGTGTATGAAACCAATTTAAATTTAAAATGAAAAAAAATAATGTTTATAAATTATAAATAAAATTACAAGTAAGAAATAAAAATTGTCTTCACTTTGTTGGGGGAAGTGAAAAGAGAAAGTGAGCCATCAATGGGCTCAGGACACCTGGGACATCCATCTTGTCCTTAGATTGCATCTGATTAATCCTGAACCCTGAATACGATTCATTACCTTGTCCCTTTGGTCTCAGTGAGGCCACTCAAAATCCCATGCACTTATTTTTTGCAAATTATGTTTATTTTTAATAAGACTCATGATTCCTTTATACGCCAAATGTCAGACTCTACTGATTGGGGTGAGATAGTCCCTGCATTCCAGATTTATTTTTTATTTCATGTAGCATTTTTGTGGGCTTATAGGCATACCCACCATACTATATGGTATTTGTCCTCGTTCTTCATTTTTGAGCGCCATCCCCACTCAGAACATTTATACCATCTGCTGCTTCAACTTGATGATAATGGTCACTGGTGTCTGTCATTGGCAAACGTGAGCATGTGTCGTTCTGGCATGATTAGCCTAGACCTCTGGGTGGTGGATCCAAATTCACGACTGAAATGGCAGCTGTGGGCATGGAAGGGGCTGGGTCTATGTGAAGCCTGAGCTGCAGCAGTGGGTGAGGTGACCCTGAAATAGACCTTCAGTGAAAAAACACTGGGCCTCTTTCCTGTTGCTCCCTTAGGAAACTTGCAGATCCGGTACAACCTGGGAGGAACCAAAGAGCCATACAATATCGACGTGGACCACAGAAGCATAGCCAATGGACAACCCCACAGCATCAACATCACCCGGCATGAGAAGACCATAATCCTCAAGGTAATGATACGTGTGTAGACAATTACAGCACAATATTAAGATAATGTTATAGTCTCGCCACCTTATACTGTTTGGCCATTTCTTCTGGGAGAAGGTTTTTTTCTGGTTTTGTTTCTTAAACTGTGGATCAAACCTAGGGCTTTGCATGTGCTAAGTCAAGTTCTCTGCCACTGAGATATATCCCTAGTCATCTTTTTAATTTGTAGCAGAATCTCATTAAGTTGCCAAGGCTAAGGACTGAGGAGATGACTCAGTCATTAAGAACATTTGCTGCTCTTCTGGAGGATAATGAGTTCAGTTCCTGCATCCACATGGCTTCACAATTGCCTGTAGCTCTAGCTTCTGGAATCCACACATGTGAAACACACACAAACACACACAGATATACACATGCTAAATCATCATCATCATCATCATCATCATCATAATAATAATAATATTCCCCTGGTTTGCCCTGAGCTTGTGATTTCCCTGCCTTGGCCTCCCAAGTAGACATGCACCATGATTCTTTTTGGGAAGTGGGGCAGGTGGAATAGACAATTAATATTATACTTTCTACTCTAAATGTTTAACTTATGAAGTATAAATGTATACGCAGCTATCACTTGTTATTCGTGAGGAATTTGTTCCAGAATTCTTCAGAGATACCCAAATCTGAAGATGGTCAAGTCCATTATAGAAGATAGCATAGAATTCACACAGCATCTCTATATCGCTACCTACACACCTACAATCATCTCTACATTCCTTGCCAACCTCATACAATGTAAGTTCTGCATAAACAGTTGCCATGCTATACAAAGATATGGAAACAGGAAAATGTCATGCACATGCTCAAGACAAACAATCTTATTTTCAAATATTTCTGACCTAAGTTTGGTGGAACCCAAAGTTATAGATCCACAGATAAGGACAGTTAACTCTCATTCCTTCAGGAAAGGCAATGGCAGTTAAGGTGGAGAAATCTTTTAAAGATACGTAGAATAAATATTCCCTCTATAATCTTCATGGCCTCTTGCCTCATTTCTTAGCTATCATTTGAACTTCTTTCAGGCCACTTCTCATCCATCCCATCATTTTTCCTGGCTACAGTCTAAGGTATCTGAAGTTTGCCATGTTTCCCCACAAAGGATATTTTGGTCTCCCAGACCTATGTTTTTCATGACTCCAGTTCAATATAAATAACAATATTGGGTTTTCTGCTTCCTCTATGGAGGCATCCTTAAAAGTCCTCAAAATTCACTTCTTCTCTCAAAAATCTAAGGCTTCAGAAGACAAACTGGTGGTTTTATTATTGCCCTCAAGTTTTATTTCAGGTCCATTTACTGCCCCCACCCCACCACTGACTTTTATGATGAAGAAAGCACCCGGGGAGACACCATGAATAAAACACGACACGAAGATGTCTCCCTGGGAAGCAAGGCAGAAGATCAAGGAGGAGAGCTGTCACTGCACTGTCTAGGTGGAGCTCCATACAGATACCTGTCAGGACAAAGAGCAGGGGGAGGCTGCTTTGTCGCAAAGCAGAGTGGCAAGTGGCGGAACCTGGGCAGCCGCTCCCATCTCACCGGAGTCTGCCAGGTCCTGGGAAAGTCGGGTCTGCCCAGAAAAAGCAGACGCCCTGTCTCCTTTGAGTGCTGACGGATGTCAGATTCATAACTTGATGAGGAGGATGCATGTGGCCTTAGCAGTAAATGCCAGGGGGCATTTAAAAAAGAGATCCTCCCTAGGAAAACGACAGCATGCTGTTCCAGCCTGTTAGGCTACCTATCAAACATGGCATACGTGGGGTTATCTCACAGTGGCTGGCAGAGTCCTTGAGCCTTGCATAGTACCAGGCACATCTCATGTGTTACAAATTGTTGAGCATATCAAGCCTACTTTTTTTTAACCAGGACCCAAGCTTTATTCAGATAAGATGGGAGAGGGCTGGTGAGACTTGGTTAAAGGGTAAAGCTCTTGCCACCAAGTATGAGTACCTGAGTTCAAACCCAGAGTCCACAATGAAAGGCAAGAGTCAACTCCTGAGGGTCGTCCTGTGACCGCCACACACTCACAACAATGTGCACACCTGCACTCACTCACACACACACACCAATAGTAATAATGATAATAATATTTTAAAGCCAAGAGATAGATGCCTTTATGTTACTTTATGGACAATGTGTTCATTGATATTTAAATAAAATTTCTCTTTTTATATTTTTTTATTTTTGCTTTTTATCTGAATATGGTTTCCCCTTCCCTCTACTGCTCCCAGTTCCTAGCCGCCTCCTCTTGCATTTTGATCCATTCCTTTCTGTCTCTCATTAGAAAAGAACGGGATTCTAGGAGATAACAACAAAACATAACAAAATAAAATATAATAAGATAAAATAAAAATCTTCACGTAAAAGTTGGACAAGCCAAGCCAATAGAAAAATAAAAGAGCCACAAGAGAAGGAACAACAATCAGAGGCCCACTCATTTCACATTCAGAAGTCCCATAAAGCACTAAAAGCTATTGTATACATGAGTAGGGCCTGGTGCAGAGCCATGCACGCCCTGTGCTTGCTGCTCCAGTCTCTGGGAGTTTGTGTGAGCTTTGCTCAGTTGTTTCAGAGGGACTTACTCTCCTAGTGTCCTCAGACCCCTTTGTCTCCCTGACTCTTCTGCCTTCTCTTTTTTGGATTCCCTGAGCTCTGAGGAAAGAGATTTGATGGGCCCATCCTATTTAGAGCTGTGTACCAAGGACTCTCTATATGAAATGCCTTTTTGTGCATCTCTATATTTGTTCCCATCTGCTGCAGGAGGAGGCATCTGAAACATGATCCTAATTAGTCTTATCTGACGTGGAGTCAGCTATCAGGGTAAAAACTAAAAGATCAGAGAGGTGACTAGCCACAGTCACCTCTTACCTCTCAACTCCTCTGACCAAAAAGGGCTGAGATCCTGTTTACACAATGCCTTATCACTTCCTCTTTCCGCCTAGCCATATCACTTTCTGTTTCCTGTCTGTATAGACCTCCAGACCTCTATGGTTAAGTAGTTACTAGCTCCACCCTCTGATTTTGCAGGCAAGCTTTATTTGTCAGAACGCAAACAAAATATCACAACAGACATCTCTGATGAAGGCCGAATAAAGCAACAATCTATGAGTATAGCAGAGTATCATTAGGACTTATTTTATTGTTACATATTTTTTTAGAACAGTAGTGTTTGATTTTACCCTAAACCTCTGGGCTAATTAGACTCTGGTTCTTGGTCACCTAAGCACTGTTCAGGATGGGTTCCATCTCATGGAGTGGGTTTTAAGTCAAATTAGACATTGGTTGGTTACTCCCGCAAGGTTTGTGCCACCATTGCTCTATCATACTTTGAAGGCAGGACCGATTGTAGACCAAAGGTTTTGTGGTTGGACTGGAGTTTACTTTTCTCTTTTCGTAGCCTGCAGAGTACTTTTCTATGTCATAGATACTAGAACATGGGGATGAAGGTTCTATTTAGGCACTGGCTCAACATTTTCATGTTCACTGAGCTATGTGGGTGTTGTCTTCATCAGTGGGGCTTTACTGTCAGTTTGTGGAGAACAACCTGCTGTTTTGGCAACAGCCTGGGTTGTTTGGGGATTTTCATGGGATCCCCTTGGCCAATTGAATAGAACCCAGTCCGGCACTGGAAGCTTCATTTGGTGACAAGAGATGAACATTAAGGGTTCTGTCTCCTACATTATTTGGGGACTTCATTAGAAGACTTCACCTTCATATATGATAGGACATTTCCACGGCACTAGGATTTCACACCACATCTCAAATGCTCCTCTACAGCTCAGAGTCTAAAGCTCTTCTGTTCTAGCTCTTATTCCTTCATTCCCATCTTTCCTATCCCTTCCCACCCAATCTTCCCTTTCTTGCCCTGCCATGCTCCAGCCTACCTATAAAATCTATTCTATTTTCCACTACCAGGGAGATCCATGTGTTCCTCCTAGTTCCTTCCTCTACCTAACCTCTCTGGATCTAATTGTGACTTAGTTATCACTTTATTTAATGGCTAATATCCAAATATAAGTGAATACATATGATATTTATCTTTCTGGGTCTGGGTTACCTCTGAGTGATTTTTTTTAGCTCCATCCATTTGTCTGCAAATTTCATGGTGTCATTTTTTAACAACTGAGTAATACTCCATTGTGTAAATGTACCACATTTTCTTTATCCATTCTTCAATTGAATGGACATCCAGATTGTTTCTAATTTCTAGACATTATGAAAAGAGCACTAATGAACATGGTTTAGCAAGTGAACCTGTGGTAGGATGAGTGTCCTTTGTGTATATACCCAAGAGTGGTATAGCTGGGTCTTTAGGTAAATTGATTGCCAATTTTCTGAGAAATTGTCATACTGATTTCCATACTGGCTGTATAAATTTGTTCTCCCACCAGCAATGGAGGAGTACTTGCCTTGTTCCATATTCTCACCAGAGTGAACTGTCATTTGTGATTTTGATCTTAGCCACTCTGAAAGGTATAAGATGAAATCTCAAAGTAATTTTGATTTGCATTTCCTTGATGGCTAAGGATGTTGAACATTCGTTAAGTGCCTTTGGTCATTTGAGTATCCTGTACTGAGAGTTTTCTGTTTAGATCTCTACCCCATTTTTAATTGGCTTATTTGTTTTTTTTTATCTCTAGTTGATTAAGTTCTTTATATATTTTGGATATTAGCCCTCTACTGGATGTGGAACTGGGAAAAATATTTTTCCCATTCTGTAGGCTGCCACTTTGTCTGAATGATAGTGTCCTTTGCCTTATAGAAGCTTTTCAGTTTCCCCGGGTCTCATTTAATAATTGCTGATGTTAGTGTCTGCACTATTGGTGTTCTGATCAGAAAGCCTTCTCCTGGGCCAATATGTTTGAGTCTATTCCCCACTCTCTCTTCTACCAGATTCAGTGTGCCTAGTTTTATGTTGAGATCTTTGGTCCATTTTGAGTTGTGTGTTTGTGCAGGGTGATAAATATGAAT